TAAATAAATAAATAAATAAATAAATAAATAAATAAATAAATAAATAAATAAATAAATGGACGTGACTTCTCCCTAGATATGGTGAAGGAGGTTTATTATAGATAAAAGAGAGAGCGTAGCCAGACTCAGGGATGTCCAGATTGAACAATGACCCTCAGCTGGGCCATGTGAGGAGAGCAGGGAGGGAAGAGGAAAAAGAAGGAAAACAAAGGGTAGATTAAAAGGGGAAAAGGTACCAAAATAGCTAGATTATATAAGGAAAGGGAAAATGGGGGAAGGGCAGTCCAGCCCCTGAGCTAAGGAAGTTTAGGGTAAGGGGCATAGTATGCCAGCCGTACCCTTTAATAGACAGGGACTGAGGGATCCTGGGAGAACCTGGCATCCAGATCTACTTTGATAAGTTAAATAGGCACCACAGTTAGCCAATTGCTATAGTTTTGAGACCTAACAACCCAGACTTTTGTTGAAATATGTGATAAGGAGTGATGTAATTTTTTCTATGACTACATCCTGCTGACATTGGGGCATCATTGTTGCGGACTCAAAAAAGCTGCAATGCTGGCCGAGGCCAGGAAGAGCAGGCTGTTTCACTTGCTCTCTGGGCTCCTTAGGACCATCTGGGGCTAGAAAAGGGTAGACCATGTTGGAGTAGTTTGTGAGGTTGGACCACTAGGGGCTTGTAGCTTTGGAGCCATCTAGAATGCAGAGGCTCAGGCTGGTAGGAAATTCCATCAGGAGCACTTAGGGCTAGTGAGTTTGGAGCAGTTTGCTGTCTTCAGTTGATTATAAATGTGCTGAAACATATCTCTGTGTAGTGTGTGTGTGTGTGTGTGTGTGTGTGTGTGTGTGTGTGTGTGTGTGACAGAAGGTAAAGTTAAGGAGTTTAGGGGAAATGTTTTATGCTGAGTGTTGGTTTGGAACTGCGGGGTCCATAGTCCTGGTAGTTTGGGGAGGTGAATGCCAGGAATAGGGGAGGAAAAGAAGGATTCCACCATCAAGAATGTGCACATAGAAAAATTTAGGATCTTCAAGAGGTATAGCCAAATCAACTCTCCAAAGCTTACAGGATTTTTTTTAAGTTTTCAAAAAGGGATGAAAGTTTTAGCTATGTTAGCAGATAGCTCTACAAGCTATCTTCTACACTACAAGCTCACTTCTTCACTACAGGCATCGCACCCCTTCTGTGCACGAGCACCCCACCTTCTACAGGGAGTCTCTAACATTTAACGACTTCTGCAGAGACCTCATTTGAGATTTGCTGAGTTTCTTCCATTTCCATGAAAAGCTCGGGAAGACTGGAATAATGAGGAGAGAAATCAGAAGAAGACCATAAAAACCCAGTTCATTTCAAGGAGAAAGCAGTAACCATCCTCCCGTCTACATTTTAAATATCACAACGAATTTAAGTAACGAAATAAACAATTCACTGAGAACACACTTTAAGCACAACTTTAATTTCCTCCTACTGTGTTCATTACCAAGCTGTTTGCTTTCTTTCAGAAGAATGGGGGTGGGGAACTTTTAAAAGATTCATTTAGCACAGAAGTCAATTTCCACTAATGTAGTCTTCACATGACCTGGGTATTCTCCCCAAAGCAGGCCGGTGTGTACAGATATTCGTGCCAGCTTCTTCATTCACAGAAACACTGATTAGCCCCAAAGAAGTAATCTATTCATATCTGTAGGAAAACCATAAGTGTGGGACCCATAGCATTTGTAATTGCAAACCAGGAAGCCTAGTACGAGTGAGTCTTTCCTTCTTTTGTAGAAAGCAACTCCAATCATGATAAGAACAGCTTGATAATATTGCACAGCCTGGACTTTTATTTCTGAAAATTTAGGCAGGGGGTGTTTCTCATGCGTTTCACCTTGAGGAAGCAGAAACAGTGCTTTCCATCGTCGGTCACCACCCAGTTCCTTACCACAGAGGGGTTAACAGGCGTGGGTATCCAAATTGCTGAATCAAAGAGAGCCCAGGAACCATCACCTTCCAGAGAATCACAGGGGCTCCACATGCCCTATATACCCCAAAGTCACTTTTGTGCATATATAGTAAGAAGAGAGAAAATAAGGACTTTGTGCTCATTTGTAGGGGGACTAAGTAGGCAAGAGAGGGAGATAAAAGCTGAGGCAATTGAACTGACTACAAAATATTCATCACAAAGTTTCCGCTGAATTTTTTTTCCTTGAACTCTTCAGATCATATGTATAGGTGAGGACAGGAGAGCTTAATTGGCAACGATACTTGTCTAGTTTATGAGAAATAGGGGAATATAGTGGTCACTACTTAAAATCCTTCAACATTTCCTCAATCTCGCTCTGTTCATGAAATTTAGTCAGTGGGAGCAGAGTAAGGGCCTTTAAACAGACACACACACACACACACACACACACACAACTGTACATGTACACTTATATCCAAAGCAAAGTGCTCAAGAAAGCCAGAAAAAAAAGTAAAAGTGTTAAGAAGAAATCTTGCCTGAAGCACAGACCTTAGCCAAAATTCATGTATATATACACACAAACATAAAATACATTGTATGTTGATAAATGCAATCTATAAAAAAAAATTCTCTACTAATACAGAGTTTTCTAGTAGCTATTTCCTTATTAAGTATCTTCATAAGGAAAAGCCAGGAGTGGGTACCACACAATTGGACTGAGCCAGCAACTTCCAGCAATACTCACCACACATAGATCTGTGAGATGATTTACATTACAAGCTCTTGCAGGATTCTGTTTCCAGTTGTACTTATGAAGTATGTTTTATGCCTGTCTTCATTATTTTCACATATGATTCAGGCAGTTTATGTGATTCCCTGAATGCCAGAGGTCACTTTTATCATTAACCTGTGTTATCCCACCATATCCTCATGAAAGTCCTGGGGAGTAGACAGAAGAATTACTGTGTCTGCTTAACAGATCAGGAAGGTAAACATGGGAGCCACTCGCAGAGTCAATCAGCAGAACTCTTAAGCACAATCTTGGTAATTTTAGATATACAAGTCAGGGGTCAAGATAGAACCTGAGAACAAACTCAGTTAGTCTGTCGCTCTTGGGGAAATTCTAAATGAATTGTGTCATGATGACGCATAGACCATTCATTCCCTTTATGGTTTGCCAAGCGTAGTAACCTGGCTACTGGTTTTATGGAATGCTTCATCTCATATGTCCCTAAGACAGCATATCTGGGTCTCATCAATCTTTTCCATTAACTCAACTTCCATACTAAGGGTCCTTTTTCTAAAACACCTTTCGCTAGACAGGAACCAGAAAAAAAAAAAAATAGCTAGGTTTCTGTTGCTGAATCCATAGTAGAAGAGAACTGCTACTTTCTGGGAACTCACCTCCTACCAGGACCACAAGCAGATCAGCCTAAATAAGGCAGAACTGGCTTGCATTTTCCTTAAGGCACAATCCGTCTTTAGAGTCATAACTCAGAAGAGGCAGGACCTGCCTAGTGTTCCGTTACAAAACTAGTTTCCTCAGACATTCCTGTTCATCAGTTCTGCTCATGTGATTCTCACAGACTAAACTGATATGAATGATTAGAAAATATTTGTAAATAAGTTTGTGTATCTCAGTGGTGGGAATTAGTGAGGATGCTAAAACTTGTTCTGGAGAATATAGGTGGAAGGTGGGACCTGAGTTAGCGTGGATGCATTCATTCTAAGCCACTTTCAAAAAAAGGATCACAATTTAGTTGCATCGATCAGAAATTCTCAGGTGCACACATTTGTTCCTAGGAAAGGCAGCAGTTCCTCAAGTCAGCAATGAAAACACTACAGTCACAGAAAACACTTCCTTTGCTCTGATGAGTTGCCTGAGTGCAAGGCTACCTCATCAAGCCCAGGCATGGAAGGGAAGAAAAGGTTGATGAGGTCATAGCCCAGGAGTGAGGTCACTGGTTAAATCTGACTCCACAACCGCAGGAGAAGTGTGACTGATGAAAAGGTGTTCCCAGGCAGAATTTAACATTCCTTTGCCTAAATGAGGCTCTCAGGTCAGGAAAGGAAATTTGTTACCTCGACCCTTAGCTTACTCATGGTGGCATATGACTAATAGCACTTTAAAGTCCCCTGTGAAGGATATAATGATTAACTGACCATTCACATCCTTGAAAGGTCACATTAGCAGCTCCTATCAGCACTCCAGAGCAGAAGCAGTAGAGTGTGAAACTTGATTCTCATGAGTTCAGAGAATGATTAAAGTCAGAAGTTGTCCATGGCTGCTTATAAATGAAGCCCAAGATTCATAGTGTAATCAATAACAGGGTAGGCACAGGATAATTGTCAGTGGTGAAAGAAAAACAAGTCCAATTTTTTTCTATTTTTTAATAAGCCAAGAAAAGCTGTTCAGCTAATAGAAATGTTAGTTTGTAGATGTAAATTTTACAAGCGAATACTATTCTGAACACTTCAGGAGGCTCTTTCTGATTATAGATATTTTGAAGAACATGCCATTAATTTTTCAAGACAATCAATAGCACAGTCTAGCCCTCAAGGTAAGCTACTGTTGAGAAGAAATTTTGTTTGTTTGTTTGTTTGTTTGTTTTCACTAGTTTTATTGTCTTGGAATCCAAATCCAAATGTTTGGGGCTGATTAGAGCAAAACACATAATCTTTTTATAATCAAAATATTATTTATATAAGAAGATATTTCATAAGGGATTAAACAGCTGACTCATTGAGCAGAAAACAAAATAATTACTGCCATTTCTGGAAAACTTGCAAACAGCTCCCACTGAGGAATCTCCTGATGGTGTTTCCCTTAATTTGACAGGACTTCAGCTTGACTTGAATGGGAAGCAATGAGTTTCCAATAACCTGTGGTGTGGCTTTTTTTGTTTTGTTTGTTTGTTTGTTTGTTTGTTTTGTTTTTTCTTCCCTTCCTACTTGACTTGTGGAACTCCTGCAAGCCCATGTGGATCACGGGTAGAATGAACAATGCAAAGAGCTGGCTTGGACTTGGCACAACCTTGTACTTCTGGACACTGATGGACCTCACGACCACCGTTCTCTCCAGCACTCCAAGGCCAGGAGTCGAATTAGAAACGCTCTCCTTAGATGGGCCACAGTCACATTTGAGAAGCAAGAGGAGCTGGGTTTGGAATCAGTTTTTCGTCCTGGAAGAGTATACTGGAACCGACCCTTTGTATGTCGGGAAGGTAAGATGTGCCCAGTAGAAAGAGAAATTCTTAGGGAATCTGATGGTGAAACTGGGTATTAAAGTGAATCTAATGTGGATGATCACCACCTAGCCTGTGTCTGGGTCCAAGAAAATTGTTAACTAATGAGTATCATTGACCACTAGCTAAAATATAGCATTGCTTTGTTAGACAGTGGTCAGAAGAAAGATGTTGTCCTTCTCTAAGCCTCCATCCAGTGGGGAAAACTAGAACCTTGCTTTTCGGGAAAAGCCTCAGATCTTATAAAAGGCACTCAACCCTTAACAGGGGCAGCAGCAATCTTCTAAGAAACAGCACAACAGGAAAGGTAGAATGTTCATTTTGTGTGTGTTTGTGTCTAAAGCACTTCTATAGTTCCAGCTTGAGACCTAAATTTAATAAAAATTGACAACAAAAGAATGAAACATTCAAAATTTCTTTTAACACTAGAGACAGTCAATGAATATATTTATAAACTTTATATTCAAAGCCCCATAATTTGTCTATCGTTTCATTTTTAATCCTGGATTTCTCTTCTGTTTGCCTTATTTGGTTGTTAGTCAGAGGCCATTTTATGAAAGCAACCAAGGGAGAGAGAATGGGAGACAAGAAATTAATTAGAAAATAAATAATTCATTCAAATGATAACTTAAACACTTGTTTAACACCAAAGCTATAAGCATGTGCTTCAAATACAGGATATGTGGTTCCATGCCCAGCCCTGCCAGGAGCTTCCAGGGAGCCCTGACCCAAGTCCTCAAGAGTCTCAATAGTTATCTACCACTCCCTTCTTCTTCTTCTTCTTCTTCTTCTTCTTCTTCTTCTTCTTCTTCTTCTTCTTCTTCTTCTTCTTCTTCTTCTTCTAGTTTAATGTTTGTGTGTGTGTGTGTGTGTGTGTGTGTGTGTGTGTGTGTGTGAAAGCACGCATCGGAATACACACACATGAGCATGTCTGATTCCAATGACTGCTGAGGCCAGAGAGAGCATTGGATCCCCTGCAGCTGGAATAACAGCCAGTTGTAAACCCCGTAATGAGAGCTAAACTCGGGTCCTCTGCAAAACAGGTTAGCACTCTCACTTGGTGAGCCTCCCATCAGCCTTCCAGCCATCTTCTTAACCCACATAGCTCTTCCTGTCCCCTCAACAGCCAGGAAGCAGTTTCCACTCCTGCTCAGAACCTCAGTACTGCTTCCTCAGTGACTTTGTTTTATGAAAACTTTCAGTCACAACCTGGGACACTGTTGGCCTTCTGAACCACAATATTAATGCCGGTCACAAGGCTGGTTTCTTCCTTTGTTTCAGCTTCAACGGTTGCCCCTGTGACAGCTGACTCCATCACTGGTGAGCAGCTCTGGACACCACACAACGCCAATATGTGCATCCTGGTGCACCTGCTGTGTGTGTGCTGTGCACTGCTCTTCCCTCTTTAACAGTTTATTCCACCACATCCGATGGCCTCATTTCCCTCAGTTGCTCCCTTACTCTGGATTGAGACTATGAAACAGCTGCAGGTGCAAAGTTCAACCTCCCTCAAAATTTACTTGTCTTTATTTCGTGCGGATGAGACAAGTATGGACCTGCGTGTGTGCAGCACTGTATATGTGCAGTGCCTGCAGAGACCAGAAGAGGGCGTCAGATCCGGTTGTCCCTGTAACTGGAGTAGCAAGACATCCTGAGCTGTTATACGGGTGGTGGAAACTGAACCTCGGTCCTCTGCAAGACCAACAGGTGCTCTTAACTCCTGAGACCCTCTCCAGCCCATGTCTGTGGTTTTAACCGCCAACTCTAGGACCATAAATGCAAAACCTCTGTCTCTTTCGAAAACAACTCTATAAGGCTTGGACTCATAAATCCTACAGAATTTGTGATATCTTCATGTTTAAGATCTAGGGGCCCAACTGTTTTATATCTCACAAGAAACTTTTTTTTTTTCTTTCAAATCTCCCCTTTCCCAATCCTTCCTGCCTCAGCATTGCCAGCACTTTGTTCGAAAACCAAAGTCTGGCTGGAGAGGTAGGTAAAGTGTCTGCCATGCAGGTGTGAAGGCCTTAAGTACAATCCCCAGAACCCATGTAAAATCCAGGTAAGTGGAGAACATCTGTAGCCTCAGTGCCCCTACAGCCAGATAAGGAGAGAAAGGAGATTTCTTGAAATTGTCTGAGACATGGGCAACAACAAAGAAGAGTCTTTGTCTCAAACAAAACGTAAAGTGGAGGTTTCCCTCTGGCCCCAGCACACCAGGCCCTGCTATATGCATGCCCACATTAGCACACATGTGCATAGGCACACATACACACACACAACATCACACATGCAAATGCAAGCACACACATACCAAAAAAATCACTACTTTCTTTTCTCTTTCTCAACACTCTGCATTCTCACTACCTAAAATTTTATTGGTCTTGTGCCAACAGAATTCTCTCTCCAGTCTGTACCTCCAGCATCATCTTTCACCTGAATAAATACCTACCCAGCTTCCCAACCAATCTGATGTCTACCTGTACTTTCAGCATATTTTTCACGTGACCTTTGTAGAAAAGGCAATCAAACTGTATCACCACCCAACTTAGGTCTGATCCGTGTTTTTGCATTGAAGTGAAAGGAGGCCCTCCACGCACTCCCCTGTAGCCTGATGACCCACATGCCCACTGATGACCTGACATGCCCATGCTACTCTTTTCCTGGTTCTTATATTCCAGAAACACGGCCTTCTGAAGTTCCAACAACTTGAAAGGTATTTCTGGATAGTTCTCTGTAGAGGAATGAAATACATTCCCCTGGCTTTTCCCTCTGTGCTCAGTTAGAACCTATGCTTTTATGGGCACTTCCCTAGGGCAGAACCCTCTGTAAGATTCTATCACCTCCTGGGGCTGGTAGGTGGCTTAGTGTTTTGTTTTATTTTTAACTTTTAAAAATTTATATGTATTTTGATAAATTACAGTTTATTCCCTTTGTATCCACTCTGTAGCCCCCTCCATTATGCCTTCCCAACCCCACTCTCCTTCCCTTATCTCTTCCCATGTCCCTCCCCAAGTCCACTGATCGAGGAGGTCCTCATCCTCTTCCATCTGACCCTAGCCTATCAGGTCTCATCAGGACTGGCTACAATATTTTCCTCTGTGGCCTGGTAAGGCTGCTCCCCCATCAAAGAACCAGCCAGGAGTTCATGTCAGAGGCAGTCCCTCTTCCTATTACTAGGCAACCTACTTGGACACTGAGCTGCCAAGGGTTGCATCTGTGCAGGGGTTCTAGGTTATCTCCATGCATGATCATTGGTTGGAGTATCAGTCTCAGAAAACACCACTGTGCCCAGAATTTTTTTGTTTTGTTGCTCTCCTTGTGGAGCTCCTGTCCCTTCCAGGTTTTCCTATCTCCCCTTTCTTTCATAAGATTCCTTGCACTCTGCCCAAAGTTTGGCTATGAGTCTCAGCAACTCCTACAATACCTTGTTGAAAAAAGTCTTTCAACAACCCTCTGTAGTGGGTTGCTGTCCTGTTGCCTGTTTTCTCCCTCTTCCGATGTCCATCCCATTTTCTTTCTGCATGAGGTTTGGTCATCTTACCCAGTGTCCTTCTCCTTGCTTAGCTTCTTTAAGTGTCTAGATTTTAGTATGTTTATCCTATATTACATGTCTTATGTCACTTATCAGTGAGTATATACCATGTGTGTCGTTTTGCTTTTGGGATAACTCACTCAGGATGATCTTTTCTAGTCCCCACCATTTGCCTGCAAATATCATGATTTCCTTGTTTTTAATTGCTGAGTAGTATTTCATTGTGTAAATATACCACAATTTCTGTATCCATTCCTCAGATGAGGGACATTTAGGATGTTTTCAGATTCTGGCTATAACAAATAAAGCTGTTATGAACATGGTTGAGCAAATGTCCTTGTTGTATACTTGAGCATCTTTTGGATATATGCCTAGGAGTGGGTCTTGAGGAAGCACTATTCGTAATTGTCTGAGAAAATGCCAGATTGATTTCCAAAGTGGTTATACAAGGTTACATTCCCACATCCTCTCCAGCATGTAATGTCACTTGAGTTTTTGATCTTGGCCATTCTGATGGGTATAAGATGAAATCTCAGGGTCATTTTGATTTGCATTTCCCTGATGACTAGGGATGTTGAGCATTTCTTTTAAGTGTTTCTCTGATATTCGATATTCCTCTATTGAGAGTTCTTTATTTACCTCTGTACCCCATTTTTTTAATTGGGTTGCTTGAATTTTTGCTGTTTAATTTCTTGAGCTCTTTATATATTCTAAATATTAGCTCTCTGTCAGATATAAGGTTGGTAAAGATCTTTTCCCAGTCTATAGGCTTTCATTTTGTTCTGAAGATAGTGTCCTTTGCTTTACAGAAGCTTTTCAGGTTCATGAGGTCCCATTTATCGACTGTTGGTCTTACAGCCTGTGCTGTTGTTCTGTTCAGGAAGTTGTCTCCTATGCTAATGAGGTCAAGGCTCTTTCCCACTTTTTCTTCTAAGAGGTTTAGTGTATCTGGTTTTATGTTGAGATCTTTGATCCACTCAGACTTTAGTTTTGTGCTGGGTGATAAATATAGGTCTATTTTCATTTTTCTGCATGTAGACATCCAGTTAGACCAATGCCATTTGTTGAAGATGCTGTCTTTTTTCCATTGTATGGTTTTGGCTTCTTTATCAAAAATCGAGTATCCATAGGTGTGTGGATTTATTTATGGGTCTTCTATTTGATTCCATTGACCCATCATTCTGTTTCTATGCCAGTACCATGCAGTTTTTATTACTATTGCTTTGGAGTACAGCTTGAGATCAGGGATGGAGATACCTCCAGATGATCTGTTGTTGTACAGGATTGTTTTAGCAATTCTGGGTTTTTGTTTTTCCATATGAAATTTAGAATTGTTCTTTCAAGGTCTGTAAAGAATTGTGTTGGTATTTTGGTGGAAACTGCATTGAATCTGTAAATTGCTTTTGGCAGGATGGATGGCTCAATGTTTAAGAGCACTTGTCGC